ATAAAACACTGGAGGCACCTCCCCTGCAGAAAGCCCTTCCCATCCGGTCTGATTCTCCCCTCGACCTGAGGAGCAGAACACCAGGTACAAGTCAACAAGCTTGCAAAGCAACAAGATCAAGCAGATTGCAGTCTCCTGTGTGGCTGGCGCAGATGCGTCTGCACGGGACACCGCCATGGGGTGACCCCCGCCCCAGTGGGGAAGTAGGGGTTCCTGCCCACAGACCTGCAGGGCTCATCAGTTTCCTGTTTCCAGCACCGGGTGCAGGGGGCAAAAAGAAGATGTCAGTGACCCCGGGCTCCCACCTGCCCCCCCCAAGCCCCTTTGAGGGGGCCCTGCCTTTGAGGAAGCCCAGACCGAGATAGAAGGAGGCAGGAAGATGGAGGGGCCGGCCGCCTGCCCGGGGCAGCTCAGGTCAAGACAGCCAGTCTGCCTGTCGCAGCCCCTCACGCCCACCTCCCCCCTCGGGCCAGAGACTGTGTTTTTGTCTTTCTTGGGAAGGGGGAGGGGTGCGGCTCGGAGCCCTGAGTGATGAGTTAAGTGACAATGAATTTGCGCCACTTGGAGCCCTGGGCTTAAGGGGAAAGTGTTTTGGTGAAACGCAGCTGGGATTTCATCAGCCCCAACCCCCCAGACAGTACAAAAATAGTCCGGGCCAGGCCGGCTCTGACCCACAGGCCTGGCCCAATTTCATCGCCCCCTGTCCTGGAGAGACGCTCCGAGTGGCCTCTTTCCCTGAATCTGGGTTTCGTAATCTCGCCTTGTTGTTTTGGTCGCCTGTTTGTGGACTGGCCTGGTTTGTCTTGTCTGGAGGATTCGGCTCCCTCACAAATTCCCTGCCGCTTGGCCCTGCAGAGAGAGGGAGGGGGTGAGGCAGGAAGACCCTCCCTCTCTCTGTCGGGGACCAGGCCCACACTGGGGACTAATCACGGGGCGCCCTGTGACCTGGGGAGTGTGGGTAGATGGGGGACCCTGGACACAAGGACGAGAGGCAGGTTTCACTCCAGCAAGAACTGGAGGGGCCTTGTCAACCTCTCAAGCCCAACCCCATTCCTCGGAGGGGAAAACTGAGGCCAAAAGCAGGAGCGAGTGAGCTGGAGTGCCAGAAGCTGTTAACAGCATCACCAGGGTTCTCTCCACGTACCTGGCACCAAGGGCCTGCCGGGCACCCGGGAGTCCCCCAGAGTGTGCGTGGATTGCAAGTGTGGTCAAAGCCCTTCATCCCAAACCTCAACTCAGAGGAAGGAAACAGAGAGGGAGCTGGGGGCAGAACAAGGAGGCGGGCAGGTCCCCCAGCGCCCTGAGCATCTGTATCTCCTCTCCCCCAGGTGTGAATGGTGAGAGCTGCTCCTCCCACCAGGGCTGGGAGCAGCTCCCAGGGGAGAGAGATGCACCTGCAGTGAGGCCAGGGGCTATTAGGATGGGGGGGCAAGACAGAGGCACCCCCAGGTGAGACGGTGGAGACAGCGCCTCAGCATCCCTCAGACCAGCCGCTGGGGGCTGCCGACCAGACGGAGCAGAGTCGCGGGTGGGAACCTGGGCTCCACCTGGACGCCTGGACCAGGGCTGAACCCTGCCATCCTGGGGGTCAAGCTGAGGGTCCTGAGTGATTGAGGCTGCGGGGTCACAGCGGTCCGAGGCCACTTTGAGAACCAATCTCCTATCCCGAGCGCCGAGGCTAAGACAGACCCAGTCCTGGGCACCAGGACGGACACAGAGCCGGTGGTCAGGGCATTGGAAACTTGACAAGCGGCGGCAGAAGGAACCTGGTTTCTGGGATTCCCCTCGTGGTCCAGTGGCTGAGACATTGCTCTCCCAACACAGGAGGCCAGGGTTTGATCCCTGGTCAGGGAACTGGATCCCGCATGCTGCAACCAAGGGTTTACATGCCTCAACTAAAAAAGCTTGCATGTCTCAACGAAGACCTGGCACACTCTAATAAATTAAATTAAAAAAATAAAGGGACCTGGGTTCAGGCTGACCTGGGCTCTCCCCCAAGTTAAAATAAGGGATGCCAAAGCTCAGCACCCCAGGGTTTGGCCCCAAGAGGGGCCACCCGTAGTCCACCTTGCAGGCGGGGGAAAGCTGGATCGGTTAGGGCTCCAGCAGCCTGAGCCCACCTCCCTTTCTTCGCACGTGCTCAGCCTGTTCAGAGGCCCAGGAGCTGCTGTCCAGGCTCAAGCAGCAGCTTGCTCCTCAGACCACAGGGTGGGACTCGCATGGGTCCTTCCTTCCTTCCTTCCTCGGTCTCCCCACGCAGGATCCGGCCAGAACACCTCAAACGCACACAGGAAGCAGGGTCTGGGCATGCTGACCCCCACCGCTGCCCCCTGCCCCGAGGACCCAGCGTGTCCAAAATCCCTGCCGGCCTGGTTCTCTCCCCTCCTGCACCTCCAGAGCGTTTCCACTCCTTTCTCTCCCATTGTTTTCCTTCTTGGCCCTCGGCCAGTCCCCAAAGGCCAGGCTAAGGCCCGTTGAAGCCAGCCCAGCTAGGGAATGGGGGAGTGTGCCGGGCTGGAGCTCTGGGATGCCTGGCCCAACCCCAGGAGTTTGGGGGCTTGAGGGAGGTGTCTCCCCAGCCCTCTTGGTAGGGGTGGGAATTAGGAGCTTAGTGAGAGGTAGTGGGTCAGACAGGCCTTGATTTGAATCGTTTGTCAGTTGTGTGGAGAAGGGATTTGCCTTCTCTGAACCTCAGTTTCTCCGTCTGTAAAATGGGAGTGAGGATAACAGCCTGCTGCCACAGTTGTGGCGATTAAGTGAAGTATTACATTATGGTCCGTGTCCTCACCGCAGTACCTGGAACAAAGGAGGTACCCAGTGAAGACAGCTGCCGTGTCCATGCCCAAACAGGGCAAAGGGCTCCGGGTGGGAGAGGCTGTTAGAAAGTATCAGTGGAACAAGGCAGGTCAGTCTGGGCTGTCCAGCAATGACACCCCTGGCCCCAGAAAGTCCTCTCTCCTTCTCTCGGCTTTTTCCTCTGGTGGGTCAGATGGTGGCAGAGGCGGACTGAGGGAAGCCTCCCCACACGCACACACAGATGCACATCCATGGAGACCCCCAACCCGCAGCCCTGGAAGCTCTGGGTGACCCTCCAGACAGCGGCCCCACCTCGGGAGCAGGGGTACCCCGAGGACGCTGGCCACAGAGCAGGTCGGCTCAGGGCTGACCCTCACAGCCCCAGCAGCCTGATGTTCCCGCCTTCCAGAAGAATCAGGGGAACCAGCTCCCACCCTCGAAAAGCCTGTCTCTGGGTCTGGAAGGCTTGACAAGGCCGGGGACCGCCCTTGCATGCCTGACACCTCATCTGAAGGCTTGGGGCAGTTCTGGGGAACAGGCTGCTGTAAATCAGCTGGTCTGCTTCTCCTTCTGGGTTGGGCATGGCCGCAGCCCTTCTCCAGGCCTCAGAGACCCCAAGGCCCCACCCTCCCCCCCAGTTCCTTTCTATGCCCACTCTCTCTCTCCCCCACCCATCCCACTTGCAGAGCGGCAGTGAGAGTGGGGAAGGACACAGACTTGGAAGGCAAACCACCCAGCTTGAATCCCACCTCTGCCATCTAATGGCTGAGTGGACCTTAAGCCTCGGGCTCCACATCTGTAAAATGGATTAGTAATAACAACAGTACTTCATCCCAGGGAGGCTGGAATGAGTTAATACCAGGAAAGGCCTCAGGGCGGTATCTGGCCCAGGGTGAACACTCAATAAATGCTAACCCTCATTATTTTTTATTTGTGTCTCTGTCTTTCATGTTTGTTGACTCAAATTTTCCGTGGGTAAGGAGGTGCGGAAGAAGGCTTGAAGTTCTGTGGTCTAAACTGCCCGCTGCTCCCAGGGCCTCTGGGCTGGAGGCTACCTACGGCTATAAAGGATTCCTTTCAATTGGGGCCAGTGATGCTCTGATAAAGCTTGACCACAGGATGCAGAATCGGCGGGCTGTGGGCTCACACCCCAGGCCTCAAAGGCTAGGCCAGCACCAGAGCTGAGGCGTTTCAGGGCGGGAAGGCAGCAAAGCCCTCAGTCCTAGGGCACAGGCTGCCAGCACTTCTCTGTGTTCCCAGTGCCTCTCTCCCCTGCTTCCCCCAGCCACCTTCCATGCCAAATATCTGGCCTCCACCCATGACTGTGCCTCATGTCATAGGCGGCTGAGTCTCAGAATCCTAGATGCCTGGAGTCACAGGGTTGGAGTATAGTGATGGAAAAGTATCTAACACAGCTTTGAACTTTTGGTGAGAACAGCCTCTGCCATCTTCCTGATGGTAAGCAGCCCTGACAGCTTGGATCCCCTCCTGTGATGGGGAGCTCACTACCACAATCCCGAGAGAATCCCATCTGCTTTCATTCCTTAGGGTACCACATCCCCAGTGAGGTCAGAAGGGTCATGCCCCACACTGAGGAGGAACAGTCCAGGCCACCGCTGGGCAGTTCCCACGGCTGGAAGGTTTCCTCCAACCGAGACCTGACTTCCTCCCCTCACAGCCCCATGCCATGTCTCTGCCCCACGAGTCCCTCACCCCGAGGTGGTCTTTCCTGCAGACTAGCGCCAGTGCCCTCCATCCACCTGCTTTTCCAGGCTCTCTTCTCTGAGTCGGGGGCCTCTGGGAGACATCTAAGCCCATCCTGCCAAGCACAGGTACTGGCAGAGACGGGGTTAGAAAGGAAGTGACAGGTGGGCACATCATGTGAGGTGTACTCCGTGACAGGGACCCAGTGAAGTTCCACCATCAGCTCGTGGGTGGCTCACCCTGCAGCACCCTAGGCTCCCCGGGAGGGGCTGGGCAGGCAGGCAAGCTGGGGGGCCCCGGAGACTCTTTCAAGCGATGCCAAGAGCCTGCAGGCTGAGTTGGTGCAGAGTGGCAGCTGTCACCACTCCTAGCAGGGGACGTGTGTCTACATTATGTCACAACTCAGCTATTCCCCAGACAGCCCCCAGGAGAAGCCCTGGGAGCTGTGACATCCAGAAAAGAAGAGGTTGGGGGAGGGCCTCTGCATACAGGAAACCCACCTCAGGGGAGGGCACCCCAGAGAGTACTGACTCCAGAGCCCGCCAGGCGTGGGGCGAGGGGATGGCCATGGGGCTCAGAACCTCCAGATATGCAGCCTGCAGATGGGCCAGAGCAGCCGCCAGAGGCCAGATGGGCTGCATTAACCTGGGAGCAGGCTCCTCAGGGCCCAGATGCTCCGAGCTGAGCTGGCGAGCCGGCTTTGGGTTCCAGATGTGGGCCTGGGGTGGGGAGGGGGGATGGGACACAGCTCCAGATGTGTGCAGTCTGAGCAAAGGATGACTGTGGGACTCCGTGGCAGCACCCCGGGGGCCCAGGGGCCTAGAGCTTCAAGGGCTAGGCCAAGGGGCCTCTTTGCTCGCATCCGCTCCAGCGCACCCACCACTCCAGCCCTTGGGCCTCGAGGGATTCAGGGTTCACAGAACTCTGACCCAGCAACTACCAAGCCCAGAGGCTCCGGCCTCATTTTGTGAGCAAGGACAGAGCCCAGGGTCATGCAAGCCAGGGACAGGCGGGACCCCCGGCGGGAACAAAGGGTCTCGAGTCCCTCCAACCACAGGCAGCTGGGGGAGGGGGGTGGGTGGCGCGGTTTCCAGGGCTGGAGGTCAGCCTCTCCCCAGACGCTGTCAGCCACACACTGGGCTGACCTGGGCATCCCTGGGGGAGCTGTAGGAGGAGGCATGGCCCTGACCTTCGCGGTGGGGTCCGCGGGGTGGGCAGGGACACGGTCCAGGTCTAGGAGACTCAGAGGACGCAGCCCTCCAGTCTCCTCCTGCCGCAGATGGTGCTGCTCCCCGGGGGTGGCAGGGTTGGGGTTCAGCTCGGCAAAGGACCCCAGCCAACCCCAGGCACTCAGCCGCCAAGCTGAAAGAGGCGCTCCTCTCCCTGAGCACCACCATATGCAAGCTGGACTCAGGCCCCTTACCAGCCAGGGCAGTTCCCCACAGCTCCGGTGCAGGGTGTGGGCTCCCCATCTCAGAGAAGGTCAGTCCCAGAGACCCCTGCAGCAGCCCCTCTAGAGCCACCCCCTCCCCACCCGTTCCCATAGACCCTGCAAGTGGGCTGAGAGGGCAAGGACGGAGGCCAGTGGTGGGCCCTGGGAAAGCCCCTCCAAGCTTCAGTCTGCACAGGGGCCCCGGCTCTGGCCTCTGAGCCAGGAAGGCATGGCAGCCCCAGTGGGTAGAGGTCAGAGGTCAGACCTACCGCCCACAGTGGCTTATGGGAATCTCAGCCTAGAGGCGGCCTCTGGGCCAGAGCAGAGGAGAGCAGGGTGGGCACACACAGCGGCCCTGGATGGCTGCTGGTCACCCCGCAGATGCCTTCTAACCCTGTCCTGGTGAAGCAGCGCAGAGATGGTCAGCGGGGAGGCTGGCGGATCGGGGAGAGCCAGCCGAGGCGAGAGGCGCTAACGGGTTGTCAGGCGAGCGCTCTGGGCAGGGGGCCGCGCCTCTCCGCTCCAGCAGCCCCACCTGGGGCCCACGCCCAAGAGCTGGGGCCTGGGGGAGAGATGCTGGCCTGATTATGCGTGCAGATGGAGGGCCAGGAAGGGGGCTGCCTGAGCAGGGAAGCCTCCTGTAGCCAGGGTAACCCAGGAGGCAAGGCCCGGGTGAGCCCCCACCCTGTTGGGCCTCCTCTGGGTGGCAAGCACAGGGACACCTCCTTGGGCGGCAGGGTCTGTCCAAGCCTACAGGCAGCTCTGCCTGCTGGGCCGCAGAGTCCTGGGACAACCCCCAAGCCTCAGGAAGGGCCCTCTAGCGTCTCATCACTTCCTCCTCCGCTCAGACCCCTGCCCCGGGGCTCCAGCATCCCATCCCCAACTCAGGGGACCCTGGTTTCTCACATTCTCATTGTTCTGCCTGGGGCCTGCCCAGCACCAACACACACCGCCCCCCATCCTCGAAGACGGACCTTGACAGCCTCCCACATCACTCTCCCTCCTGGGGACAAGGAGAAGCCCGAAAAGGAGCCCGACTCCCAGGGCAGTGGGCTCAGGGAGTCACTAGGAGCCCAAGGACCTAGATGGGTGCTCCGTGAAAGGGTCGGGGTTGGGGGTGGACTCAGGGTCAACGAAAGGCCAGGGACTTAGGCCTGGGACTGAGGAGGGGGCCCCTCACAATCGTGGCTGGGCGGCCAGGGCCCTGTGTGTCTTGGCCGAGTGGGACCCCTGGGCCGCCAGGTATGTAACAATTCCAGCCATTTCCTGCCCTATTAATGAGAAAGGGGCTGATATAAATACACGCTCAGCATAAATAAATACAGGCCAGGCCCGGGACTGCATAGCAGACAGATTGCGTGGAGCTGCTGGCCAGCCCTGCAGCCAGCTCCCCCCACCCTGTTCGCACCCCCCCACCACCGCCCCCCAACTTGTTTTTCCTCCAGCAGGCCAGGGCCCCTCCACACTCTCAGGCCTGAGATAGACAGACCCGCCCAGCAGCCCTCCAGACCTCAGAATAAGACCCCCGTGGCGCTGGGAAGGGCTCAGGCCCGAGAGAGAGAGAGAGAGAGAGAGAGAGAGAGAGAGAGAGAGAGAGAGAGAGAGAGAGAGAGAGAGAGAGAGAGAGAGAGATCGGGGTTTCTCCTCCAGGCCTGGTGGGGTACAGTGTGTGCACAGACTCAGTGCAGCCCTGTGAGGCACGAGGCTACGGCTATACCTGTTCACAGGTGGGGAGACTGAGGCTCTGGGGTTAACGAACTTGCCCGAGGTCACGCAGAGGGGAGGGGGTTGGTCCAGGGTTCAAACTGCAGCCTGTCTGACCCCAGGGCCTCTGATCTTCTCACTGCCTGAGAGGAAGAGCCACGGGCATCTTCACGCCTTCCTCCTCTTTCTCCCAAGCCCCAGCGCCAAGTCACCAGGGCCCCTGGGTGGCCCAGGAGCACTTACATTCATGGAGCCAGATCTCAGCTCATGTCCAGGGACCTGTGGCTCGGCAGGTAAAGAATCTGCCCGCAGTGCAGGAGATGTGGTTTCGATCCCTGGGTTGGGAAAATCCCCTGAAGGAGGAAATGGCAACCCACTCCAGTATTCCTGCCTGGGAAATCTCATGGACAGAGGAGCCTGGCAGGCTACAGTCCATGGAGTTGTGAAGAGTCAGACATGACTGAGCAACTAAGCAAGCAAGGACCTATCAGAGCTATACAGGTGACCTCCTCCCAGCTGAGGTGTCCAGGATATTGAAGACACCCCCAACATTGGCTGTTTCATCCCGATCACCCAGTCACCCGACGCTGCATACACATGGAAACCGAGACCCAGAGGGGACACCCAGTGACACGTATAATGTGAATGGATTCCCATCAGTACGTCAGTATGGCGCCCCATCAGTGGCTGTAGGTGGGCTGTGTGTGTGTGCACGCAGGTTCGCATGTACATTGTGACTAGAAAGATATTCCACACACAGTTCACTCTCTTTCTCTGAGGTTTAGAACCAGAGAGAAGGAAACATTTTTACCTTCACACCTCTGTCCCATTTTTTTTTTTTGCCACACTATGGGGTTTGTGGGATGTTACTTCCCTGACCAGGGATTGAACCCAGGGCCCTGGCAGTGAAAGCATAGAGTCTGAACCACTGGACCACCAGGGAATTCTCAACATCTCTGTACTTGTGGTAATTAAAAAAAAAAAAATTTAGAAGAAAAAAAATAGCCGCTACCCTCATCTCCCCCCACCGCACAAAACTCTCCCCATCCACTGCCCACGGGCCCCACCACTGGTCCCAGCCTCCAGCCCATTCCCAACTCTATCCTGGCTCCGGTCCTCTCTCGCCACCTGGCACAGGTACTGGCCACCTCCCCTCCCTTCTTGGCCCTTGAGGCCCCTCTCCACCTGCTCCCTCCCTCCCAGCACCCCAGGCCCATGGTCAGAGCCCTATCCAGTGCCATCTTGGTCCCTGGCCGCCCCCCAGGAGAGTTCTGGGGCCTCCTCCCCGACCCCCAGCCCCCACCTTCAGCAGGGGCTGAGTTCACACACCACTGCACTCAGCTTTCCCCGCGTGCTGCGTGCGAGTTCCAGAATCCCAGCTGTCTTGACCCCCCTCACAGGTGTTCTGCCTGGTTGGCCAGATGGGAGCCCTTCAGAGTCATCGGGCCAGGGGCAGGCCGAGTCTGCTCCTCAGGCTCAGAAGAAGGGCCTGGAAGTTCACCCCACATCCACCCCCGGGCCATCTGCAGGTTTTTCTATGAGAGGCAGGGCAGGAATCTGGCCTTAACTTCTCTAGTAGCCAAAATGCAGAAGAAAGTAGAGCAGAGCTCTCTGGAATGTCTTCCCACACTCATCGCCCCCGGGCTTGGGAATGAGTACAGAGCGATCACTAACTCCCAAGAAACCATCTCTCCACTCCTCTCACAGAAGCACTCCCTAGGGGTGGCGAATCGGGGATCTGACCTGTGGCGGCCTGAGCACGCCTCCACGGCATCCACGCCCCTTGAGCAGGACCTGGGCAGCTGGGGCCAAGGGCCGAGATACTGGGTGTTTCCCTCTCCCTGGAGGAGATGGATCTGTGGTTGTATTTGTGGGTGTGGGGCTGGGTGGACAGGCTTCCCAGGTGGCGCTAGTGCTAAAGAACTCACCTGCCCATGCAGGGGATGTAAGAGATGCAGGTTTGATCCCTGGGTCAGGAAGAGCCCCTGGCGGAGGGCATGGCAACCCACTCTAGTATTTTTGCCTGGAGAATCCCATGGACAGAGGAGCCTGGGGAGCTACAGTCCATGGGGTTGCAAAGGGTTGGACACGACTGAAGCGGCTTAGCAGGCAGGCAGGCAGGCAGGGTTGATGGACAGGTAGACAGGCTGAGAGACAGACAGGTGGGTGAGTGGACAGATGGATGGATGAGTGGGGAAATGAGTGACCAAGTGTATAAACGGATGCACTGGCCAGCTGCAGACTGGCTCCGAAATAACTACTTTCTGAAAGGAATTTTCTAAATCTCTGAAATGTGAGGCCCTGGCACCTCCCAGAGGCCAGAGTCTCTAACTACCTATCGTCCCTAAAAACCTTGGGCATCAGTCTCAGGATGCAGGCGCATGGACCCAGATGAAGTGAGGGGTTCTGGGAAACTAACAAACAAAAAAAACTAGGGTCCAGTGCTGGTTCTTGCTCTGACTTATTCTGGGACCGAGGGAATGAATGTTCAAGCTTCCAGGCTCAATCCCATCTGGAAGTCTGCGCTGGTAAGTGATTTAAACAAACCTATGTGTGTAAAGCCACTGAGGGGGCTTTCCTGGTAGCTTAGATGGTAAGGAATCTGCCTGCAATGCAGGGGGCCTGGGTTCGATCCCTGAGTCGGGAAGATCCCCTGAGTAGGCAATGGCAACCCACTCCAGTATGCTTGCCTGGAGAATTCCATATACAGAGGAGCCTGGTGGGCTATAGTTTTTTGTTTTGTTTTTTCCTTATCAGATGTCTGAGAGGGTTACCTGGCACATACCAGGCGCTCACAGAAGGTGATTTCCTTTCTAGAGGAAGCCCTGGGGCACACATAGTTTAGTCACTAAGTCCTGTCCGACTCCTTGTGACCCCATGGACTGTACCCTGCCAGGCCCCTCTGTCCGTGGGATTTCCCAGGCAAGAGCACTGGATTGGTTTGCATTTCCTCCTCCAGGAGATCTTCCCAACCCAGGGATCAAACCCATGTCTCCTGCTTTGGCAGGTAGATTCTTTAACACTAAGCCACCTGGGAAGGCCGAAACTTCACATGCACCCACACAAATGCACGCGTGCGTGCACACACACGCACACACACGCATGTGCACACCCCTCCAGCCCCGTGTGGAAGAAGGGCCGAGAGCGAGACCCCAGGCCAGACCAGACAGGGGAGGCACAGGGGACACATTTATTCTCCAGGAGTTCCAGGCTCTGTCAGGATTGGCCTGGCCTCGGGGGCTGGGGGCCCAGGGGGTGGGGGCTCAGATGAGAGCCCCAAGGCCTTCTGGGGCTCAGCCTCCTGGGCCTGGGCCAGCTGGGCTGTGTGCTCAAAGGCGGCCTGCAGCAGGTGGGAGGCAAGGCAGGTGGTCCAGGCGATGAGGTAGGCCAGGTGCCAGGAGGTGAGCGCTAGCGTGCTCTCCACCCACCAGTACAGACTCTTCAGCAGCGCCAGTGACCTCCGCACCACGCGGTTCTCCAGCAAAGCCTGGGGGCCAGTGGGGCAAGTGGGTCAGCAGGCGGCTGTCCGGAGCTCACATGCCACGCTGCCTGGCCGCTAGGACCACCCCCACAACCCCCCAGCCCAGCCCAGCCCAGGCCCAGTGTCCCGGGTCTGCCCCCACGCCCCCGGCCCAGCCATGCCCGCCCTCACCCACCTTCCTGGGCAGCCGGCCCAGGCTGCAGCACTGGGCTTTCCGGTACAGTCTCCAGACCAGCAGCAGCAGCAGCAAGGCAGCCAGCATCAGGCCGTGCAGACACGACAGGAACAGGTCTGTCCAGGTGGCCGCAGACAGGCCCAGCTGCTCCCAGGCCCCCAGCCACTTCAGGGCCAGGCCCAAGGCCCGGGCACAGCCCAGCAGGCCTGCCCACACTAGCCTGGGCACCCGCAGCGCCAGGCACACAGGGACCTCTAGCAGCGTCAGCCCGGCCCGGAGAACCCGGCCCACGGGGCAGCCGGTGATCTTGGGGGGTGGGTGGGACCCCCGCGCCTCCCGAGTCAGCTCCGACAGCCAGTGGTTGAAGAGGAAGATCTTGAGGAGCAGGAAATTGTAGAGGTGGGCCCGGTTCTGGACCAGCTACAGGAAGAGGAGGCCGTCGTCACCCATTGCCACTCACTTGCCGCGGGGGCCCACCTGTCCCAGACTTTCTGGTGCGGGTGGGGCTGCCAGGCCATCCCGGGCCGGGCCCTCCCCTTCTCAGGCCCTCAGTTTTCCCCACCCCAAGATTGATCTTTATCTGTCCACTTGGAAGGACTCCATCCTCAGGAGGGAGCTTTAGTAGGTGTTTCATATTATATTTGGTTTTCTTTCCACTGGTTTTTTTTTTTTTTTCCTCTCTCTTTTTTTTTTTGGTCACACCAGCTGGCTTGCAGGATCTTAGTTCCCCGACTAAGGCTCGAACCCATGTCCCCTGCAGGGGAAGCAGAGTCTTAACCACTGGACCACCAGGGAATTCCCTTTCCTTTAGGTTTCAATGGTTATTTACCACTCTCCAGACTAAGGTCACGTTTGAAAAAGACTGGTGGGAAGGTCAACGCTTAACCCACCGGAGTGACTCTCTAGAGAAAATTCTGCGGCTCTGTGGCTTGAGGGTGGGGCTTCTGAAAGCTATGGGATTACTCCAGGAGAGGGGCAGCCACCTCGTTTCACCAGCAGTACCCAGCAGCAGCTTTGGTCCTCGCCCCCTGGCCCCCAACCCCCAACACCCCCCTCACCAGTGCGGACAACTTCACCACCATCAGCAGAGCCCCCGAGAGGCTGGGTCTGACCGGAGAGACGGCCTCCATGTCTGGCCCTCCTTTCCCTTCTCCACAGGAAGAAGCAGGGTGACCTCACAGACACCACAGGGTGGGGACCAAGTTACCGTGGGGACCCAGTTGCCACGAAAGTCTCCCCTTTCCCTGCCTCCTGCCCCATCACTGCACAAGAACTGGGGTACTTGTCTTCCACATCCTGTCGCCTTCCTACTGGGAGACTGCTCCCGGGGACATCAACTCTACAGAATTCTGGTCCGCCCCACACAGGCAGCCAGGGCAGAACAAAGATTCTGTACCTTCCCACATCCTTCCAAACCCTGAAGGATCAGAGAGCTGGAAGATAGACATCTTCGCCCCAGGGCCGCGGGCGACAGGATGCTTGAAGGCAGATGGAAGCCTCAGCCGCCCGAATCTGAAAGCTCCTACCTAACCCCTACCCATCCTTCTTGCACTTTGCTGAAAGTTTGGTCCCGTCTCAAAGCAGAGAAGTCAGCTGTAACCTTTATTCTCCAATCGAGTGGTGTGTCAGTGGCTTCTGAGAGGAGGGCAGGGGAGAGAAAATGTGCCCACAAAAGGCTTCAGAGGGTCTTGAAGAGAGGCAGAGAGGGAAAGGGGGCAATTTGCTGAGCAAGACCCCTCGGGGGCCACAGGCTGCATGGAAGAGCGGTTTCTAGAAGCCGTGGATCAGGGTCAAAGTCTTAGAATTCTGGGAGAATCCAGAACCTTGACCACAGCCTTTCCTACGATGCTTTCCTGTCTGGGTTCCAGCAGGTGCCCCGAGATGCGGCAAGGATGAGGCTCTCACGCCGTTTAGACATTTTTTAAAAGCGCGCCCTCTGGTGGCCGGTGAGGGCAGGGCACAATTGCTGTCTCGCCCCCTTTCTCCGCGACGACCCTTGTGCAGGATACAGCTCGCCGTAGAGTCCCTGGAAGGTCAGAGGTGACCCCTGCCCAGGACGGGTCCCGTTCGCCCATTTGTCTCCTCTCCCGGGGCGACAGCTGGGGTCCACTTCGAGGAGGGTGCAAAGTCCCTCGGCTCCGTCCGCTGCCCTTACCCGTCCCCCACCACCCTCTACCGTCCCCCAACACTATAGCCCTGAGGGGAAGCTGGGGTTCAAAAAGCCCTCCTTGAGCTAAGTTTTGAAGGATGGGTGGGAGTTTTCCGGAGGAGGAAGTGTGAAGGGTGGTATGGGCAGAAGGAACAGCATGATTCCAACAATTCCGTCTGGGTGGAGCATTAAGTGCCCTTCTGGAGAAGGAAATGGCAACCCTCTCCAGTGTTCTTGCCTGAGAAACCCCACAGACAGAGGAGCCTGGCCGGCTGCAGTCCATGGGGTCGCAAAGAGTCGGGCACACCTGAGCGACTGAGCGTGCAAGGAGGGTTTATTTCTTCTTTGGGTGACCATTAGTTTGCATTCAAAAGAGTCACAGTGGGACTTCCCTGGTGGTTCAGGGGCTGAGACTCTGTGCCCCCAATGCAGGGGGCCTGGGTTCAATCCCCAGTCAGGGAACTAGATCCCACATGTCAAAATGAAAGATCCCACATGCTGCAACTAAGACTCAGCTCAAATTAATTAATTAATTTTTAAAAATCACAGTTTACAGTTATTTTAACTTGTATTTGTATTGTTATTTTAAAATACGATGGTTATCTTTATCAAACCAGTTGATTTTGTAATAATAAACGTCCACACTTAAATGCCCACATTTGAATTGATGCTTTCAAACTATGGGGCTGGAGAAGACTCTTGAGAGTCCCTTGGGCTGCAAGGGGATCAAAGGGAATCAGCCCTGAATATTCATTGGAAGGACTGATGCTGAAGCTGAAGCTCCAATATTTTGGCCACCTGATGGGAAGAGTCAATTCACTGGAGAAGATCCTGATGCTGGGAAAGATTGAAGGCAGGAGGAGAAGGGGGCGACAGAGGACAAGATGGGTGGCATCACCATCACCAACTCAATGGAAATGAGTTTGAGCAAGCTCCAGGAGATGGTGAAAGACAGGGAAGCCTGCCATGCTGCAGTCCGTGGAGTCTCAAAGAGTCGGACATGACTGAGCAACTGAACAAGAGCAAATCACTAGCTGCCGGGAGCCGGCACATGAGATCCCACCCATGACAAGGTCATGAGGAAGAAAACCTGACAGGCAAGGCGGATCAGGTTTTCAGGGATTTTGAAAAGCTGCCCCCGGCACTCACCTTAAAGATGATATCTGTCTTTCTGATGCCTGCCTCAATAGACTACTTCCTAATTTCTGTGACACAGGCAGAAGGCCTTCCCCGATCTCTTCCCAAATAAGAATCAATTTAGAACTTTAATCAATAAGTTTCCCAGGTGGTGGTATTTTATGAGATTATCCAGGGTGAAAGGAGTGTTTTAATTTAAACTCCTTTGCGGGTAGTTTGTTAGCCAAATGCATTTATGCCCTTGGTACTAATATTCATGATCGCTTATAATATCCTAATCATAAAATAGCATAAAGAACCTGATTATATAAAAGCCCTAATAGGCATAGAGCATTTTTGAGGGGTGAAGGAGTCCTATTAGAAAACATAAGAAAAATTATTCTAAAGGTGGTTATTGGGTTGACGTTTGATTACTGTTTTGCTTGCTGTGTTTTTGTTTTTAATGTGCTAAGGTTGTGTTATAGAAACCATGGTTAATATAGTTAAAGATCTAGAGAAATAAGAACTCAGCCCTAGTGTGTTAATGAAATGATTGCTAATTGTCAGCCAGGAGTGCTAGGCAGAGGCTGCCTCGCTGAAGACGCAGAGTCTGTGTGGGGTAAACTTCTTAGATAAACGCAACTGACAACTTCTGCAGAAGGATTAATTTTTGTGTTAACAAGGTTATACTTCCACTCTGTACTGTTTCCCTATGAGACTGCTACCTTTCAGTTAAGGTCACCAGAGAAACAGAAAATAGGTTTACATTCACCTGACCTGCATAAAATGTTAATAGGCCCCAAGGCCAGAAGATAACGTACAAGACCCTCATAAACAAAGAAGTATGCAGAAAACACCCTGGTTTTGTGAAGGACAAGCTGAGTAATGTTAAACTATCTCCCCTTAGAAATGTACTAACTTAGGGTATAAAAGATATGGTAAAAAATAAAGGATTGCCAGACTCTGCCAGACCCTGCAAACACCCCCGTCTGGTCACTGGTCATTCTCTCTCTCTCCGCCCCCCCCCCCCCCAACCTCGCAGACTTGGCCCTATCAAGGCTGGTCTCACGTGTCTTCTCTCTCTCTCTCGCCGACACCGTTCATCCTGAGGGTACCCCTTGGATCCTGCCGAGGCTGGACCCTGGCAACTAGCCACAGGCATTAATTTCTAGAAAAATCCCCCAGTCAATAATGTGTTAAAAAAGAACAGGCCCAACATGGAGTCACTTGTGCTAAGCCCCACCAGGACTTAATGTGAGTGAGTGAGCAAGTGAAAGTCTCTCAGCGTCCAACTCTTTGCGATCCCACGGTCTATACAGTCCTTGCAATTCTCCAGGTCAGAATATTGGAGTGGGCAGCCTTTCCCTTCTCCAGGGGATCTTCCCAACACAGGGATCAAACCCAGGTCTCCCGCATTGCAGGCGGATTCTTTACCAGCTGAGCCACAAGAGAAGCCCAGTTCTTAATATTTATCTTAATTGCAATTTCAACCTCTCCCGGGAGTGGAATTTTAAGCCAATTCATCTGGAGTTTTTGCTTTGCTCTGAGAGAAGGTGACCTGACTTGAAATAATGCACCCTCTACCTTCCTTGTCCCACCCTCCTCCTGACTATAAAAGCCTCCCTTTTGTACTGCTGTTCCGCTCCTTGGAGCTCCTCTCTACCTGCTGGGCGGGATGCAGACTGTTCAAGATTATTGAATAAAGCCAATTCAATCATCAAATGTACTCAATTGATTTTTTTTATTAATTTGTTTTTTATTGAAGGATAATTGTTTACAGAATTTTGCTGTTTTCTGTCAAACCTCGACAGGAATCAATCATAAGTATACATATATCCCCTCCCTTTTGAAACTCCCTCCCATCTCCCTCCCCATACTCAACTGAATTTTGACTTTTAACAGATTTGGTGGCAGTGGTGGGATCCAAGGTGACCTTCTTCTGACGGCGTTCACGGACAATGAGAAAGACAGGCATGGTGCCGGCAAATCCCTTTGTGACTGCACTGCCTTTTCTCACCATTTCTGAGGCCAGAGGAAATTCATCACAGTTGTGAGCTCTCTTTGCATCACGCGCCCGGTCTAATCGGTTTTCTAGTCAGTTCCCCTTTTGTTTGGAAACCCCAGTTCTTGACGCTGTCCCCGGATTTCATGTTGGGAATTGCTGGTGATTTAGTCTGCAGTTTCCCACTTCTTTGAACTCCTTCCCCAAATTCCACATCGGGAAATGCAGTAGCCACTGTAGTTTCCCATTTATTTGGTCTTTGGTTCAAGGCTTTTCCCCCACTCCAGAGTTCCATGGGAATTCTTGGTGGTTACCAGCTGGAGTCGGACTGGGTCCAACTTGAGCTGGACAGGGTCCAGTAAAAACAACTGCTAACAGGAATCTCAGAAGCCAAAAAGCTGCAAAATCGGTGGGTCCTATGCAAAACACTGGGGTCGTCCAAATCAAATTGATTAGGAAGAGAAGTGGTTAGACATCAAAGTAAACTGCTTCCACTCAAGACACCAGATCAAGACTTTACACTTTACATGAAACTCAGGACTTCCCTGGCAGTTCCGTGGTTAAGACTGAGCTCCCAGGGTAGAGGGTTCAGGTGTGATCCCTGGTTGGTGAATTAAGATCCTGCATGCTACAGAGCTTGGTCAAAAAAAACCCCAAACATGAAACTCTCTCTTTCCCCTCTCCTTTACCCTGGCATTGTCCTGGAAAGATAACGGCATCACTCATATTTCTCAGGCCATTGCTAGGGGGGTTAAGCTCTGGAATTTAGAACAATTTTTTATTTCAGGCTAGAAGTTTCTTCCCCCATATGCACTAAAAGTCCTGAATGACCCTTGTGTGTGGTGGGGGGACGGTGTTTAGTT